ATCCGGCATGTGACATGTCTTGATTCTTATGCTGCAACCGATATTAGGTAGATCTATTGGTGTACTACAAGGCATCCAACAATATAATTAGGTATATACTTCCATCTCTCCCTCTCTCCCCCTCCCTCCCTCCCCCATCCATACTCATGGTGAGAACTTGTTCCATCTACACTCTCGGTAGAAAGAGAGATAGAGATTAAGCTTAGAGATAGGGAGAGAGTAGTGATGTCAAGGGAGGGCTTTCATATAGAAAATTACATGTTTTGGTATCTCTCCATAAATATCATGATTTATAACACCATGTTATTAATTGTTAAGGATTATCCCCTATTTTTAGAATATGGATAATTTGTAAGGAAATAGGTAATTGTCCAGTCTCCTTGAACAAGGGATGCAATCCTAGATTATGATTAATACACATAAATCGGATATTTTATTTAGTTATGACTAAATATATATAAAATACCAATTGAGTCTATTTAATTTATGATTATGTTAATCATAATAACATTTCAATGGGTACCCTTAGATTAAGGCCGATATGAACAAATACCTTAAAGGATATTAAGGAATTGATTAGATAACTATCATAATATCAATATTAAATATTAGAGAGATTATCCCCTCTACTAAGGTTAATAATACTTTTAATGTGCAAGTTTATTGGACATTATAGGCATATTTAATATACCAAATATATTAAATGTCAAAATTATTACTTTCATATAGAAAATTAATATGTTGATCGTGTACTTCCCTTGACATTAAATTACTTTGTCTTCAATATAATGTAACCTATCATAACCAATCTATTAATATTTACGGTGGGAGATATAAGATTCCCGACAAGGTATAAGAGTAACCTTTTCCTATATCTGGCTAATTATACCCATAGAAGTACACTATATGCCTATATCCCTTGAAGCTATCTTGGTCCTCATTAAGCTAATATTTCTATCATGAATAGAATAAAATTATTACTGTTAGGATTTCTGATGTATTGTGAATAGAAGGCATTTTGAGGAAAGAGCCCAAACTATAGATCCTATATATCAAGGATTACCATATACCATACGTTATAATGTGTGCATGTCAAATAACAATTAGGTTACCATCATATCGGCCTTAATCTTAAGCCCAAAACAATCCTATAATTGTAACCTAAATATAGGAGATGGTCCATACAATGGTAATTAAGCAAGTTTGGTTAACCCATTGAGTACATAATATCGAGGGAATGGTGATTATAATAGTCAAGAAATGAGACCTATATTGGAGAGACCCTCAAAATTATGAGGTTTGTAGGGCTTGCTATTCTCCCTCAAGTGATAATAGTATTATATAGGCGGTTATCTTTATGACCTAAAGGTCATGACTAGCCTATAGAAACTTACGGGGCAACCTATTAAACAACATTGAGAGTAGGAATAATAGGTAATTGGGTTATATTCTTATCCTGATATTCCATATAGAATAATGTGTAGTAGGCCCTATAGTAACGATAATTGATATAATCATCGGGATGACCTAAGGGAGTATAAAATTTACCATATCTAAAGGTAATTATATTGTTATAGATTAACTTGCATGATCCTAGATAAATATTATCTCCATATGTACCATAAAGTATGGAGAGATAAGGGAGCTACTAATATGGTAGCCAATATCAATAATCAATAGATTGTCCTTTCAAACAGGACTCTATAAAAGTAGCTCATATAAGAATATTGATTCATTGAATATGATTAGTCATACATGGTAGATAATTGGGTTATTATTGACAATAATGATAATAAACTAATTATAGTTTAAACACATTATGAGTACCAATAAGGAATATGCCTATTAGTATTAATAGACCTAACACTAGTAAGGTTTACAACAAGTAATATCTATGATACCTATAAATGGTTGCTCACCAATTTATCCGATTATTAGATATGTTATTAAGGGAATCACTTGGTCTAAAAAGAGATATTCTAATTCCTATTTAGATAAGGTATAGATCCTAGCATATTAAGAACCAATCACCCTATAGTTAGGTGATTAAACTAGCTATAGGGTTATAACTATAGCTAGTTTAATCACCTTTTAAATTCTCCCTCTTAAGTATTTCTCTCACCTTAGAAATCACCGATTCACTTGCTTGGATAATATTTATCATGATTTTGGTGTATAAGTCTATTAATACAAACTTAAATGTACCCGATATAATTTAAGGGGACTTAATATTTACAAAGTGGTATGATTAATCAGCTAAATCATTGTATCATACTATGATTTGGCATCATGGATTGGTTATATTATAATAACTAACCACTCCCCTTTTGGCCTTACTACTTAAAAATGGTATGAGAATGCTATGATCGTTTTATCAATGTTAAGGCATCATATTCATCAAAATTATTCATTATAACATCGCCTCCCTAATTAAATGTGCGGAATCATAGTATGCTTTAGGTACTCCAATCAAATATAACCTTAAATTTGGGTCCTCTATCCAAGGACCTAGATACTATCATTTGAATGTTTATCAAAATTTCTTCCCAGCGAACTATGATTTTAGAGGTATTTATTCTCAAAATCTTATATTAGTATAAACCATAATTTATGAGGATTTCCCAATAGTAAAACTATCCTATTATCAAACTCTCTCCTTGTTTTAATCACCATATACTATCATTTAAAGTAAGTTGATGGAATAATTAATCTCTATAGTAAAGGTATATGGCCTAACTCCATCAATAAATTGTTCAATTTATCATAATTAGTTAATATTTCCATATATGACATAATATACTCTATCAAACAGCCAATGGTTAATTCAATTGGTAATACCCTATGTCATTCTATCATCCTACGATCCCTATTTCAAAATGGGCATTGAAAATAGATGAGTTAGGACAAATACGCTATATTAGTGATAATACCTTCAACTTTATAAATGAAATTATTATATACGGTAGGAACAACTAACCCTTATTATGGGTTTAAACTCCAATACTTGTTAATAGTCATCTATAATATTGATGATATTAGAATGAGGTGTCCTTAAATGGCCTATATAAGAAAGATAGAGACTAGGCTGGATAGTCACTTAATTCTAGATATAAAATAGTTTCCTATGAAACTAAGAGTTTAAGCATGAGGGAAAGCGAATTTGGCTTCATAATATCATCTAAAAGTTAGGGCAAGTTTACGATATATAGTTTACTTATAGCATAATTTACCAAACCTATCAAATTATTGAAGGTTAATTAGGGAAGATCATCTAGAAAGGGCATTATATTTGGTATTATCTAATGACTTTCCCTAATTAGTGATGATAGGGGTGAAACAATAAAGAGTCCCTTATATGTTTTCCAAGTTTCTCAACCTATTTCTCCTCTATTTATCATATATTTGGCCATATTATCATAATAATATACCATGAAGCAATCCGATCATACAAGGATAAGGCATTTATCACACAGTGTCATGGTCTTATTATATTATAAGTTAGTTGAGTTGATTAGGGGATATGAGTTAACTTGAGAAGTAAGGGTAAATATATTAAGTGGTTTAAATGGTAGATTACTTGAACAACATCATACAATGAATATATATTCCCATAATACCATGGTAATGTGATATTTATAAAGAAATATTTTTATGTACTCTTCTAATTTCTATGTGCCTACTACCATATCATATACTTTTCTTATTTTATACTTTATTCTTTCATTTTAGTATTCTTTCATTTTAATGTCGTCTTTTTTATATTTCTTTTTCTTCAGATGAAGATAAAACCCCAGAGTATGCCCTTTCACAGGTCAAAGCGCGAAAGACACTTCGAATCTTTTTTCTATTTATTTTATATCTGTCAGAAAAGCAAAAGGAGAATGAATTTTTCTATTATTAAATTCAATACAATATTAAATAAATAATAGGAAATTTGAAATTAAACGAAAGTCTTTTTATCGCACCTATTAATCTTATATATTATATAGATATAAATATCAATATAAATTATCTTGTGTTCTGGAATCAAAGAAAGATATTTAAGAAAGATATTTTTAATTCTCTTATATGTTTTATTATGTTTTTCGAATAAACTTTTCTGTGGAATGGAGGAAGGAAATAGTAATTTATTCCTATAGAATAACTAGATAACTGGGAACAAAAAGATTGAATTAGAAATATCGACAGATTTTTTTCGGAGTCCAAAGAAATATGAAAATGAAAGAAAAAAGCGAATCTACTGTTCCAATTTCATCTATATCGAATTTGACTATCAGAATAGTGGATAGAGTCATGATTCAATGGGTTAGGTCCACTTACTTTTTCTTTTGTTGATTTCTAATCTAATCTTTACAATTGATTTGATTGGACTGCTATAAAATAGGAAAGTTTGACGATTTAAGAGCCAACTTATCATTATTCATTTTAATATAATAAACAAATGTTCAATTTTATAACTATAATTACTATATTAGTATACTCTAAATTAGAGTATAAATCATTATAATGTTAACCTTCTAATTTAATTTTAGAATTTATTAAAATTCTATTTATTAGAAATATATAGTTTCTTACCTTATTTATTATTTATTACAAATATTAACAATATTTCTATTCCTCCTTCAAATGGAATCTCCCTTCAAATAGAAATACTCCCGCGGGAGTTTTATGAAAAAAGGACAAAGCCCCTTATCGGATTTGAACCGATGACTTACGCCTTACCATGGCGTTACTCTACCACTGAGTTAAAAGGGCCCATTTGATTCAATTCCTAAATGAGCCAGCATGCGGATAATCTATATCTATAGAAATAGATTCTACATCAAATCTATGTAAAGTAAATATATTATATATAATTTTTTCTATTTTTCTATTTCTATATTTTTATATTATAATATATAAAAATAGAATGAAATTCATTCTATTGACAATTTCAAAAAACTGTTCATACTATGAGCATAATATGCTGACGATCGGGCAAAAGTGCCCCCATCGTCTAGTGGTTCAGGACATCTCTCTTTCAAGGAGGCAGCGGGGATTCGACTTCCCCTGGGGGTAGGGTATTACGAAAGGAAGTTTATGGGGGATTATTAAGAAGTCTGGAATTTTTTCTTCCTGGGTCGATGCCCGAGCGGTTAATGGGGACGGACTGTAAATTCGTTGGCAATATGCCTACGCTGGTTCAAATCCAGCTCGGCCCAATAATTCACTGATCCACCATGAAATGATATAACCCCTTTGTTCTTTCGAAATGTCTGATAAAAAAATAAAGAAGTCAAAATTTCTGCTCTACTTGTTATTTCTATTTATTTGATTTGCTTTATTTTCACAAATTATGATCTTTCTGACGATCTAGATTCATATCAGGATTTGTAAGTAGAAAGTCTAAGAAAAAAAGTAATAGAAAGAAAAAAGACTCTTTTTTTTTTCATTGAAAGGTTGATTATCAATTGATTTTGAGATTTTTATTTGAAATAACGAAAAGATAACTAGTAATTCGTGCCAGTATCACTAAAATATATATTCACGGGATATCAATATTACCTACCACTCGCACTCTGTTACAACGAGGCGATTCCAATTTAAAATCTAAACAGAAAGTGTTTGAATGAAATCATAAGAATATGTATGCTGTACACTTTATTTCATTTCCCTGGGATTGTAGTTCAATTGGTCAGAGCACCGCCCTGTCAAGGCGGAAGCTGCGGGTTCGAGCCCCGTCAGTCCCGACAAATCCAATAAAAAAAAAATACATCAATTCATCTCTTCATTTTCTGTAAAAGGGGTACAAATAGCAGAATTTCATTCCCAAAGGGGATCCTTATTATTATTTTATATTATTTATTTATATATTTTATATTTATTTTCGTTTTTCATCAAAGCAAATACAAATATGGTAATTTTCATTTCTTCAACTAATATCGATGGAGATGGATAAAGACACATGTGGATTAGTACAATTATTGCTAGCGTCATATTCAGGATTCCAAGATATACCGCACTGAATTTGGTCTTTTCGATTACTCCCGATCCGTATAATGAAATCGAATCGAGTACCCTATCTTTCCCGGTATCACATACACAAATGGAATTCTTATTTGTACGATACAAAATGAATTTAATTTCTTTGATAGAATCCTTTTAATCAGAAAAGTATCTTCTTTTTTGGCTCCGATTTTGTGTAACCTCAATTACTAGTTTGAATTTGAAACAATCTATCTCATTCAAATTGTACACTGAAGTTTTGATATATTATATGGATCCCATTACTAATTCAAGTAAAGAGCATATTAATAAAATAAAAATCAAATAAGGACCCCGCTCCTCTTATAGGGGGAATGAAAAATCTTTTTAAGGGTTTCTGCCGAAGAAAAAACAAACTCTAAAAAAGTGAATTTGGTAGAATATTCGATTTTTTTTTATACTGTACTAGGACTTATCTTTATCACACTTTTTTTTGTTTTCCAATCCAATAAGATTAGATCATTCAAAAAAGGAGCTTAGAACGGAACTCCCCCTTCCCATTTCGCTTCTATTGTTTGTTTGGGTTTGTTTGTAACCTATGTAAGTTTAAAGGCGATTAGATGATACTTAGTCAGATGATTGTACAAGGAAGGAGATAGTTTTATAGAAAAGAAAGAATGGAAAAGCATGATAAAGAAAGTAATAAAGTAAGGAAATTTTCGATTGGGTCAGGAATCCATTTTTGGATTTGGTATGAATAAATGATCTTTCTATGTTATACTATTCAATTCTCGACGATAAATCGATTTGAGAGTTCAGATATTGTTATTCATGATATTGATCTGATTCGATATCATCGAGATGGAATTCATCCCATTGAATTTAGAGGCGAAAGATTTATCATCTCTTATGGGATTAAATCCCGAATTATTGTGAAGTAAAGAAAAACGAAACGATGAGATTATGGAAGTAAATATTCTCGCATTTATTGCTACTGCACTGTTCATTCTAGTCCCTACTGCTTTTTTACTTATAATATATGTAAAAACTGTTAGTCAAAGCGATTAATTTGAATGAAACTTGACTTCTTAGTTCTTATCAATATCAAGAATTAACGAAATAAAATGAAAAGAATTCCAATTTTGCGTTTTAGCTGAAATGAGCGAACTAGAATCAGCAGGATTCTATGAGATCCGATAGTATGTTAGAAAGTAATATATATTACTTTCTAACATACTATCTATTTTTGTTATTCTAGTATATAAAGTTGTACTATAGAAAGATCTGGGCTTAATATAGATCAATCTAGAATGTCATCTTCATATTTATATATAGATATATAGATAATAGATATTAATTATCTATATGGAATGTACATAAGGTTCAAATTTGATTTCTTTTCTTCATATATTTGATTTGTGTTGGTTCCAATTAATCTGGAATAGTTGAAAGGCGCCTCTTATTCTTATGATTTTAATTCCTGGATTTCTTATTATTTTCAATATGAATCCAGAAATCCATTGAAATAATCAAATCAATGAAAAGAAAAAAGAATAGTCGGGGTATGCATTAATAAAAGAAAATCAATAAATCTTTTTTTAGCATTCCAAAGAAATAATTGATTGAAGAGTTGACAAATCATCCAAGGAGAGGAGTTTTATAAAAACTTTTTCAGATTTCGACGAAAAGAAAAGGATTAGTAAACCCCGCCGATTTTCAATCTTTGAATCATGATATGAAATGAGTCAAGTCAATAAAGTATAGCATAAATCGAATTTCTAAAACTAAAATAATAAAACAAATATTAAACTAAGCACTAAGTGCGCAATATGTGATTTCTCCAAGAAAATATCTTAGTATGTGTAGTATCCCGTTAGAGAACCACTATGTCTATTTTATTTCCCGGGGAAAACCACTTAATTTAATAACTTTTAACTAACTAAAAAAAGAACGACTTTCTTTTGTCTTTGAACCGGAAAAAGGCA